CCTACTGTTGACTAGAATCCTTATCAATAACAAAACAGTTGATTAACAACACTCTGTATGTTATATGTTATTACATACTCTATTATTACAATAACATAAGCTAGAGAGAATATGCTATCAAGAAAATCATGAGGAAGAGAAAATACTTTTGTAGTACTTATTGAAAAAAAATCCATGGATAAGTGGACTTGCGCAGTTCAAACCCCTATTCTTCAAGAGTCAACTGTATTAATCACATTTATTTATTCTTTTAGCTTTTCTGAGTTTTTCATATACCTTCATGAATTCCCCCTTCTTGGAACGCTGTCCTGCTTATACCATGCCCATTCTGGGTTCCAGCCACATATCTTGAGGCGACATCCTGTGTTTTCCTCATTTACAGACTCAACTTGAAGCAGAGTTGGATTTCTGGTACTGCGGTAGCAGCCAAGCAGGTATACAGCTGTGCCTGGAGGGAGGGGAGCATTGGGTACCTAGGGGTGACCAAAATCAGGGAGCATAAAGAAGACGACGGAGGACCAGTTAGGCCACCTCCCACTTGGTTGGAAAGTCTGCTCCTGGTTTGAATTGGTTCATTCACCCCAAGCCAGGAATATCTCAAGGTTCAGACTCCATTTTGAGTTCCTGTGTCCACCGACCCACTTCTCTCCTCTCCACCTCGCCCTCCAGGATTCCGTGCAAGTATGGCTGGGGTCGGACTAGACACTACTCTGTTTTCGTTTTATCTAGTTAAATTTACATGTTGCTTCCTGGGTTTTAAACAAATGAAGGTTTGTTTTTATTTCTTTTTTAATGTTTTTTTTTTAAAGATTTTATTTATTTTTAGAGAGGGGAAGGGAGGAAGAGAGGGAAACATCACTGTGTGGTTGCATCTCGCGCGCCCCCTACTGGGGACCTGGCCTGCAACTCAGGCATGTGCCCTACACTGGGAATGGAACCAGCGATCCTTTGGTTTGCAGGCGGGTTCTCAATCCCCTGAGCCACACCAGCTAGGGTGAGGGTTTGTTTTTCATCTAGAACAAGCCTGGAAATATGCACCTGATGGCATTGTTTAGCAGCTCAGCACTTGGGGATCAGGTTCTCTTCACCTCTACCAGTTAGCACAAGTCTACACATCCACGACTACATTCAAGGCAGGAACAGGGCAGGAATTGGCAGTACCAACCACTTCCAGTCCTTTTATCAGGAAGCAAAAGCTTCCTTAGAAATCCTCAGCAAACTTCCAATTATGGTTTATTGGTGGGCTATCATATGATTATCCCTAATTACAAAGTAACACGGTAGAAAAAGAATTTAGCATTTCCAGCCACTAGAGTGAGGGTGCACAAAGAATAGGAAACCAATTACCTCCCCTTTTTTCTTTGTGTAAGTTTTTGGTAACTTATATAGCACATTCTGATTCTAACCAATATAGCCAATGAGTCACTGCATAGTTCTCTAAGAGCACCAGTCCAGAGGTTAGTCTTCTGAAGTCCAGGCACAGACAGACCTCAAGTATCTGATCATTCCTATAGTCAGTCCCAGTCAGAGATTCCAGATCTCCTACAAAGGCTATTTTTTTTTTTTTTGCAGCTCCCAAATCCTGGGTTAAGGGTCTACCCATCACTCTGCTGTACCCAATGGCCAGCTGCAATTTTAAGAAAAGGGGAATTGAGAAAACAGGAAACTGACTTTTTTGGGAGTGTAAGAACAAACAGGAAAGGGAAAATGATGACATTTGGTTGATACAGATCATTTGATTTTAAAAGGAAAAATATAAGCTCTTATGGGTAACAAAAATTTTCAAAATTTAGAACTGCCTATGACCTAAAACTACTCTTAAAAAATAAAGTCTTTAAAAAAAAATGCATAGCTCTGGCTGGTTAAATAAATATACAGTCTTGCTCTTGTGGCATACCTAATACTTATATTTTTAGTTAAATAGAAAAATGTGAATTACTATGGTTTGGGTGATGTGCTGTTTTCCACACTAAAAATGGCATAGCAAAAAATATAAATAATTAGTTGAATTGGCAATAATTCACCTCTCAATGATTTTATATGACGTGTAAAGCAGTTTTGATAAGCCAAATGAATCAAATCGTGTCTTCTAATATAACAATCATGAAAATAAGTCACATTTCATGTTTTGCATATTTTGGGTTGGCCAAAAAGTTTGTTCAGTTTTTTCTATACGATGGCTCTAGTAAGTGCTTAGTTGTCTTTAACTTCATTCCAAATAGTTTTGTTAGATTGTATTATGACAGCCGTCTTATCAGGGAGCATAAAAAAAAAAACCTATCAAAATTGGTGAATTTTTGTGCAGCCACTTTAATATTGAAGGTGGAAGGAAATACACAACATTTTTGGTGTATTATTTCAAGAAAGGTAAAAATGCAACAAAAAAAGATTGGTACAGTGTATGGAGAAGGTGCTATGATTGATTGAACATGTCAAAAGTGGTTTGCAAAGTTCCTTGGTACTAATGACATTTTGGCTAAATAATTCTTTGCTGTGGGGCTGTCTTATGCATTGGAAGATGTTTAGCAATACCCTTGGCCTCTACCCAGCCAACAGCAGGAGATAGCTAACACACTCAAAATATCCAAACCAATCACGTTATTGGTGAAAATGAAAAAAGTGTCTTTTGTTTCATGGAAAAAACTAAATGGACTTTTTGGCCAACCCACTACTTTCTAAAAAAAAGAACCCATAAGTAAAGAAATGCTCCTGAAGAAAACAATCCTTAGAAGGGTCAAATAAATTCTTTCTCATTTATTTAATTGTGCTCTCAATATAAAAAAATGAGAAATTATAAATTTAGTCTGAGAAAACAGAACCAGGGGGTCTTAGAGCGGGAGGGCCCTTTGGAAATCATGGGATCCATGCTCCCATTTCATAGATGGAACTGAGAAAGAAAAGTCACGTGAGTCGCCTGATGGCGAGGCTGTCCTAGGAAATGGAAGAGTCTGGACTGAAAGCCACAACCCTGATGTCCAGGATAGCTCTGTACCACTGCACCACACTAGTTCCCAGACTGATACTGGCCTTTTTCTTGGCAGGTTTCCTTTTCTTTTTAACCTTAGCAGTACCAGAAACAAGAAAATGCATGACTGGATTAGCCCTTAGTTGGCATGCAAAATTGTTTTTCCAAAGTGTCTGCAGTTGGTGAAAGTAACTGCTGATTTTATTAATAGCAACCTATATGAAAAGAATACATTCGAGAACTTGGGAGCCAAAAATAAAAGTTCTTTTCAGAGCAAAATATCATCCCTGTTTCAGAAGCATCTGCACTGTTTCTAGGGGTACACTGGATATTTGGTGCTTTGCAATTTTAATTCTGTAATAATAAATAACCATTACAATGTCTTAGACTCACACACAGAAAGCTCCCAGTTCATGTCAAGCAAGATTCAATATTGTTTGTAATACTGGATGTTGCATTAGCAACAGACTTGTCTATATTCTTGGGTTCTGTAGCCTCTCCACACACGGGCAACTGAGCCCACTCCAGTTGACTTTTTGCCTCCATCACTCCGCTGAAAGAGTCTTACTAAGGTCGACAACAAACTGTCTATACAATGGCTATTTTTCTGTCCATGCGTACCTTGACCTCTTGGTAATATTATCACATTTGTCCATACTCGCTCCAGTTACATCGTCATCTTCATTTTCCTCCTACCCTCCTCTTCCTTTTCACTTTCCTTTGCAGAATTACCTTCCTCTACCAGTATATGCTGGAGTTCCTCAAGGTTCAGTTGTACAATAGACTGTCTTTTTGCTTTATACCAAACTCATCCTGGTTGTTTTCCATCCTTACTGCAAATATTCCAGCTAACTCCCCAAGTTTTATCTCCACTCTAAGTCAAAAATTTCCTAACTTCTAGACCTGTATGGTTATTTGGTAAACATCTTTAAATGGATGCCTCAAAATCAAGATGGCTACGTATGAACTCATCTTCCTTCTCCCTTGTGTTTCCCAAGAGAATGGCATCATTCTCTGTCAAGCTGTGCAAGTCAGACAAGTGATCATTGGCTTCACCGTCTCCCATGTCTTTCATTTCCAATCTATCGCAGGTGCAGCGGAGTCCATCTACTAAATTCTCTTCAGTCTACCCTCTTCTGTCATCACGCCAGCAGCTTTTCAAGATATCACATCTCTCTACACTCCTCTCCCAGCTGTTTCCTGGCATCTCTCTGGTTCTCCATTTGTTTCAAAACAATGGGGTTGACTGTAACATTGCTCGCGACATACCCTCTTGCTTTTTAATAGATTTCTAACATAGCCTACAAGACAGTGTGTAGTCCAAGGCTGGCCTGCCTTCCCAGGCTCATGCCACACCCTATCTTTCCCTCCCATATTCTCCATCCTTTTTGCAGTTACTTACATTCATAATCCCTCCAACCAATGGGCCTTTGTATGTGCTATTCCCTTTTACCAGAAATGCAACCCCCTCCCTTTGCTTAGCCAACTTGCATGCTTTCATCAGATTTCAGCTCAACAATCCCTTCCTCATGGACACCTTCACTGGCAGCCAATCGTGGGCCAGAATATTTGCTTATATGCTCCAGATAACCATGTTCCTTTTAACATAAGTTCACTTTGTTCTTATTTAATTAATGTTTACCTTCTCTGCTAGACAGATGTCTCTTGGAAACATAGGACTGTCTTTGCACAAAAGGCTTGTCTTTGCAGAGTGCCTAGAATAGTACCTGGCACACAGTATACATACAAAAGACCTCTGTTGAGTGAATTAAATTATTATATTCCTAATGTTAGCAAGTACGATCCAGTTCAAGGTTGGAAACAGAAACGCAAAACAGGATGTGTCTAATAAAGCCGACCTCCATGTATTTTATTAGACTTTTGCGTTTGGCCGTTCTGCATATTCATTCACCCAACAACTGCTGATGGGCAGAGTCAATGTGGCGTGCTTGATTGCATTTTTTAAAAAGGTGACTAATGGTTTCCATGCAGCAATATTTAAAAACTTTAAAAAAATGAAACATAAGAAAGTTTGGTTCATTTCAGAAAGAGATTGCTTCTCTCTGTTATTTTAAAGGGGGCAAGAGGACTTTGTTTCATTAGATTCTGCATATTTGGGAGCCAGACAGGCCAGCGTTCCCACTGCACATACACAAAGATGCTATTGTTCTTCCACTGGTTCTAATACACAGTACAAGAGTAAAAACATCAGGTTCTCTTTATTTGTAACAGGTAAAAACTGAAGTGTAGTCATTTAACGTAGGATAAAAAACAAGTGCAGTTAACACCCGTAACACAGGTCGGCATGTGCTCCTCCATGGCACCGTGTTTCCAGTTTGTCTCTATGGCTGGTCCTGGTAATCTGGCACGTTTTCTTCCATGAACTTCCTTTTCAGTGAGACGTTGTCTTCAGGGTCAAATGTTTATCAGCCTCTAGTTCTAGTAATACATATTTTATTCACTTATATATATATGTATCCCACCCTATTTTGCTCCGACTTTTTCACTGCATTCCTACTGATATCAGTCATTTATTATAACCCTTTCCCAACACTGATCATAATCGACCCCCCTGGCCCAAGTTGTATTTACAGTTAATGGGCATTTGTACGTGGCACAAATTAACTCAGCTGTTAGTGCGCAGAAGTTACATAATTCTCACGGTGCTGAAAATACTTTTCCCAGCTTTGGGGACATAATTACATGTTAATTTAGACATACACAGAGAATGTTAGTAGACAAACAATGTCTGAGGCCCATCTGTAAGACAAATTGTTTTTTACTTCTTAGCACAACAAAATATATTTTCAGAACCAAAGAATATTTAAAACACAAATAGAAAATCACATACTAATTGCACAACAGATTGACTGATACATCAAAATTCTGTCAAAAGAGATTTTCTTTGAGGCTTTCATTTCAAACAGGTCAGGAGAAAAATCCCTAAAAAATCCACATGGCTCTTCATCCTCTTAAGAGTTGTTTTCTTATTTAAAGTTTAAAAATAATATTTAGAAAAAATTATTTATGACAAGAGGGTTTATCTATCTCAGTTAATTTATTGTGAGCAGTTATCAACAACTGCTTTTGATGCTCTAATGTCAAGAAGTTGGAAGGCAGAAATAAATTTGCAATTAAATATGTGGCACTATGTATTTCCTCTTACCCTGATTTTTAAAAAATTACTCCTTTAAACATTCATAGAACTAGTTAATTATTGACCGTTTTTCTACTTCTCTTTCAGATCTTTCCTAACATTTTCACTAAGGTCCTGCTTAGTGTTTGGACAGCGTTTGCCCTGACTTGTGTAAGAATTTCCTTCAGCCATCTTAGGGAGGCTGGACACAGCTCACTCCAAATGCTCAAGGCCAGAGAAAGCTCCACAGCTGCCTCCAACGGGGCTGGCGCTGGCGGCAGGAAGGGCAGAGAGGTGGAATTAAGAAATTAGCAGCCTGGGCTCAAAGAGGCCAGGAGAACACTTGATAACAAGATACCAAGATAATAAGAACACTTACTACATCTATAGTCTTTCCTTTGGGTCATTTGAATGTGGAGTTAATTTGTTTTTTAACGAAATGTAGTTTCTAGAATTCACTGAGTGCCACCTCAAAAAACTTGTTTTTTTGGGGGGGCGGGAATAACATATAACTTCTTTTAATTTTTAAAGAAAACTTTTAAAAGATTTTATCTTCATTTATTTTCAGAGAAAGGGGATGAGAGGGAGAAACAGAGGGAGAGAAACATCACTGTCACACACTGATCAGTTGCCTCTCGCACACCCCCAGCTGGGGGCCTGGCCCACAACCCAGGCCTGTGCCCTGACTGGGAATCAAACCAGTGAACTTTTGATTTGCAAGCTAGCACTCAGTCTACTGAGCCATACCAGCCAGGGCTAACTTCTTTTTAAAAATATTTTATTTATTATTTTTTTTTAGAGAGGAGAATGGAGGGAGAAAGAAAAAAAAGAAACATCAATGTGGGAGAGAAACATCTTTCGACGACCTCATGCATGCACCCAGCCGGGGACCTGGCTGCAACCCAGGCATATGTCCTGACAGGGAATCAAACCTGCAGCCTTTCAGTTTGAGGGACGTCGCCCAACCCACTGAACCACATCAGTCAGGGCTGCATAACTTCTGACATCAATTATCCACTAGAATAATGTTATTCTTGGTATTGGGTTTTATTTTATGATGTTCTGTACTACACTTTGTTTTCTATAAATTGTATTTCACTTTCTATAAATGAAATAAGCAGAAGTTATCCTAAATCAACAAAAATAGAAAAGCTAGACTTAAATTCTGACTTGAATGCTGGCTGAAATTATAGCGTTCACACTGGGGACCACCTGAGTAGGTAGAGGGGTCTTATGCATCCTTCTTTGGAACAGTTTGAACACTTAACATTTGTAGTCCAGCGATATGAAGTCCTTTGTCACTGTTACAGAACTTTAATTCATGTCCTTGATTTGATATAACCAAACCATCCTATATATTCCATACAACTGTCATCTTTGAAAAGGAGATTGAATTAAGTTTTTGAAAAAAAGGAACACTACATTAAAGTCATTATTTATAAATAAAATTTCTTTTGTGTTACTTTTTGTAAACCATCATTCAATGAATTCTGCAATGTAATTTTTCTTCTTCTTTGAAAGCAACTCGCACATCTCACGTTTTGTAATCTTGGGGTGACTTTCTGTTCTCCACAAAAAATCCAATTAAGGACGTTGTACCAGTTTACTCTTACTTCCTTCCTGTTCACTGAGTTTAAAATGGGTATAAGCAAGAATGCCAAATAATGTACATAACATGCCGAGACCCTGATTAACTGACAGCGGATCCTTAAATAAAACGTAGCCACCAAACAGAGTTATGCAGAACTTGAAGTGTCCAAACATGTTATAGCTGAGGTTTTGGATAAGGATAAAAAGGAGTAACAAGCTAGATGTTATATTCTCTCTCATTCTCTCTCTCTCTCTCTCTCTCACACACACACACACAGCACTGGCTCCCTGGGGCTGGAAAGAACTGCATGACACACAGACTGAACAGCAGCTGTCTCCTCCCCCAATGTTAAGAAAAACAGAAACTTCCGTGAAGTACTGGGTCAATCCTAGTTTCTGTAGGTAGGTTTTAGCAATTAGTTAAGTGATAGAAGACTGTGTCAACTATCCCTATTAAAACTTATCCCTTTCCAAAGAGGAGAAAAGAGGCTACAATATAAGGTTGGGAAAGGAGTTCAGAGCAAGGTATAGAGAAGATATTTTGTACAGCAATTTATGATTCTGTTTTAGAGGACCATTTCTAATAAAACTTCCCTTGGCAAGTGAGGTGAGATATGTAAGGCACCAGAGACCTGGCTCAAGGTAAGCGCATCCAGTATGCTTATGTTTAGGATGGAAATTTGGGAAGGGGAAGAATATAATATTGTGCACCGATGATATACCAGGCACTAAGCACCATGTGTATTAGCTCTAATAATAGTTATCGATAGCAATATTTATGCCTGATAAACATTTGCCAAGAGCTTGACATATATTCTCTCAGACTCATAACAACCAAGATTGTAGGTACCGTTTCCCCCATTTCATAACTGATGAGAGTGAGAGCTGAGAGCTCTCACAACTTGCTCAGGCCCATGGGTAGGAGTAGAGCGGGGCATGCGCGCCTCGATCTGTCTGACCGCAAAGCCTAGGCTCCTTCCTTGGCTGTGAGGCCAGCTGCGCAGCCTGGAAGTGCCATCGGGCAGGAGAGCGCAGCCCGCCTCACAAGGGTACCTGAGGTTGCCTGACCCAACAGAGGTGATTTCCTGCGAGACAGGGGATCTTCCCAAGGATGTACATTAGAACCATAATCAAATGTGCTTTATTTTCAATTGTGAGCTATCTTCAAGTGCACTGGCTCTAACACTTTGGCATTTCTTTACTCCTCAGTCTTTTTGAAGTAGTTCATAATGTGCTAAAGATATTTATACCAGAGGGAAGGCAAATGTAAAGAAATTCTGGAGTGAATCCTTTTGTCAACTGAGAAAAGGAGTAGTCTATACTTGATATGTACACTTCTTCTAATTTTCCACTCCATTCCACTTCAACTGTCACTTCAGCCCTCTGAGAGCTCCTGTCAAACCACCAGCACCCCCACCCTGTGAAACCCCTCCGTCCATGACCAGTCCTCTCGCAGCGGCATTCCCAGGCCCTTGGTTCCTACGCCCCCTCCTTCCTTTCCACCTGGTTGCTCCTTTCCTGCCTCTTCTGCCTGGCTCCTCTCATCTAAACACTGAATGACCCAGGACTCAATCTTTGGGTGTCTTCTCTTCTACTCCTTTGCTTAGCTAGTTCATCCTTTGCTTAGCTAGTTCAACCAATCTTACCACTTTAAACATCTACATGCCACTGACTCTCTCTGGACCATCCCCAGCTGAGAACCTGAGCTCTCAGACTTGTCACCCAAAACTGAGCACGAGCTCTTCCTCCCCACCTCAAAAGTTCCTCCTCAGGGCTGTCCCACCCCAGCTGATGGCAAGTCCATTCTACCAGGTGCTTAGGCCAAAACCATGCGAGTCAACCTTTTTTCCTCTCATATTCTCCACATCCAATTTGACAGCAAAACCTGTTGGCTCTACTTGAAAATATACCCAGAATCCAATCACTTCTCACTATGTCCACGGCTACCAAATTACCGTTATTTCTGAGTATTACGAGGCCGCTTGATGGTTTCCCTTCCTGCCTTACCTCATTTAGTCCAGTGCTTCTCAGCCGGGGCTGATTTTGCCACTTGGGTAAGGTCTAGACACATTTCTGGTTCTCATAATTGGAGAAAGGGAGAGCTACTGCTATCTAGTGGGTAGAGGCCAGGAATGCTGCTAAACATCCTACAAGGTAGAGGACAGGCCCCTGCAACAAAGAATTGTCTGGCCGTAAGAGTCAATAGCACTGACTGGGGAAAGCTCTTAACAGTACACTGGAGTGACCTTATTAGAACATAGGTAAAATCATACCATTTCTCTGCTCAAAACTCCAACGGTTTCCCTTCTCACTCAGACTAATCACCCTATGTAAGAGCTCTGCTCCACCCGGCTCCCGGTCACCTCTCAGAGCCTTTGATACTCCGCTCTCCGCGCCCCAGCTCCAATCACATAGGCTTCGTTGTTCCTTAAGGCCTCTCACCTGCTGTTCCCTCTCCTGGAATGCTATTCATCCCGACCTGCATGGAGCAACCTCTTTTCCTTTGGGTCTTTATTCAAAAGTCCCCTTCTTATAGAGAGGCCTTCCTGCCTTCTCTCCCTAAATTTCAACTCTGTCCCCAACATTTCATATCCTCTTTCCTGCTTTATTTTTTATCTTTGTCAGTTAACACTATCTACCACTAGTATCTATGTTATTTACCTATTTCTTTATAGTCTGTTTAAACCTGTGAGAGCTAAAATTTTTGTCTATTTCACTGTATCTCCAGTGCCTGATATATAGTAGATATTCAATATGTAAATATTATATCAATGAACAGTTTATAGTGGGTTTTCAATAAATGTCTGTTGAATGGGTGAATGTTAGTAAGGGCACACACTTGGATACCCTGACTTGGCAGCAAGGTGCAGAAGTTTTGGGACCAACTGCATGGTTTGAAATGTGGATACAACCCTACTCAGCTGCACAACTTTGAGTTATTTAAACTCTCTGCTCTTCCATTTCCTCTTCTGTAAAATAAAATAATAAAATTTACCTCACAGAGCTGCTGTGAGATTAAATGCCTAATATACACAGTGTGATTCAAAAAGTACCTGACAGAAAATAAACATTGTTATTCATTTAAAAAATTATCATTGTTATTTGTTGACAGTTGTCAAATATGCTGTGTTTTTACTTTGATGACATCAGTGTTCACTCATTTTTAGAAATCAGTACCCTCTCACTTAACACTACTAAACTGCCACTCTGCTTTAAAGAAATCCATTCTCTGCATTTGTCTAAGAGTGGAGCTAATGAAATGCGAAGTGAAACAGAATGACAAGCAGAATACTAAGAATAGGCAGCTGAGTTTGATTCAGGCCTTTAAAGTATGACTTCATTTTGTGAACTAATATTGAGAAAAACAGGCACACCCATATCCACGTAAGCACAAAAACACACCCTAAAATTCAGGGGTCACTTAGGTCAATTTCAGAGGTCTGGTTGTCTTTTGCTCTGTGGATAACCGCACCCGTTACTACAGAGAGCTGAAAACCGACTGACAACCCAGCATCCACCCCACTATTCACTCCCCCACTATGGGCAAGGAATGGTTCTCTCTGTTAATTCTGATATGGAAAATGACCGACTGTGACTTAAAAACATTCAAAAATGTTCATGATGTAAAAAGCGAATTCATTTTCCCAGTTCATATTTCTTTACATTTCTATAGACTGTAGTGTGGAATGAAATGATTAAAGATTAAAAATAACTCACTTTACTTAATTTAGGCCATGCAACGGTAATTGTGAGACTCAAGGAATTAATGTGGTGGACTTTTAGAAAATATAAAAGACCATGCATTTGTAAGTCATTAGGCAAAGGATACGTGACTGGCGAAGTGTTCCCAATGATCCAATAAATCGATAAGTTCACCATGAAAGCTATTACTCCAGATAGCAGCACCGTGAGCTACAAGCAAACCAACAGAGTCATTAATGCATCTTCAATCATTATAATCATCAAGTAAAAATACATCGCATTAGGCATTTCTAAAAACTCAAATATCAACCATTAGGAACAAGATTTTTAAAAGAATCAATTTGAAAGACAACAAAAATTGAGGGTAAAAGAGCAGAATGAACAACATTCTGAAATGTAATTTTGTCTACACAACTCAAAGAAAAGTTCCCCAATAATATACTGCCTCTGAATGTGAATTTCCAGGCTCACTTTTCTTATTTATCTGAGGAAAAATTTCTTTTTAAAGTAAAACATTTCATTACAGAAAAATCAGAAAATAAAGATAAGCAAAAAGAATATAAGAACTTCTTATAATCTCAACCACCTACCACGATTAATACCTTAGCATATATCCTTCAAGATCTTTCTTCTATTGAATTACCCATATTTGTTCTCATTTAAGTTAAACCAATAAGTAGTCATTGGATATCTACAAAAGTAGGCCATGCTGGGAGAGGAACACAATATATTCTTGTCTTCAAAGAGCTCAGATACCACTTACAAACATAATCAAAGTCATGATAATCACAACTTACACTTACATAGTACGTATTATGTGACAAGGATTGTTCTAAAAGCTTTACATATATTACCTTATTTAATCCTCACAAACACCATGAGGTAGTAAAATATTATCCCATTTTATAGATGAGAAAACAGTGAAACAAAGTAACTTGACCAAGATCACACAGCCAGGAAGTGGCAAAGGCTGAGATTGAAACCGAGCCATCTGGTTCTGTAGTCCCTGCTTTTAACCAACTCTATTATGCTACTTCTTAACCACATGAAAGTGAGCGTGCAATGTAAGATTTCTGGCTCAGGCAATAAAAGAAAATGAGCTCCTTCATTTACAGGCAAAGAAACAATGAGTTCTATATGACTCTCTAGACAGGACTTGTCATCTCGGGCCAGGATAGTTTGAAAAGTCTTTGGATTTCAAATGTATACAGTAAAGGAAAAAAAGGGCGTAGGATTCCAAGCAGGGGGAACACTGCGGCCCAGAGCATGGAAGCATGAAAACACAAGGTGTTTCCATGGGACAATAAATAAGACAACTTGGCTGAGGACGGGGACAAAGTGGGCTGTGCCACTGCATGCACATACAACACTCTGTTCAAACCCATATCACGATATTTTAGAAAAGTTATAAGGTCATTTTCTACTTCTAAAATAAGAGTTTAGATAAAAATATTAGTTATGATTTGAATTAATAAGAAGTCTAAATTCCAAAGAGATAAAAAAAGTTGTAGTTCAAGATTCTTTCTGTCCCAGGTGGATTTCATCGATTTTTAGATCAGTGCAGTCACAAGAGGACGAGAGAGGTTGGAGTTGTGTCCTATTTAGGTAAAAAGAGTAACATGTCATTTGTTTTATAAAAGCCGGCCCAGTAAGATGTTCAACTGAAAGATACTTGCTCCTTAAAGATTTTTAAAACCTGTTTCTAGCCCTGGCCAGTGTGGCTCAGTTGGCTGGACACTGTCCTGCATAGCGAAAGTCACCAGTTCTGCCCCTGGGCAGGACACATGTCTGGTTGTGAGTTCAGTCCCTGTTTGGGGCACGTGGGGAAGGCAACCAATCGATGTTTCTCTCTCACATCAATGGTTCTTTCCCTCTCTTTCTCCCTCATTTCCTCTCTCTAAAATAAATAAAAAATAAAAAAATTTAAAAAATATTAGAAACTGTTTCTAGAAACATGTCGTTGTTAATTTTACTGAGTTCACAGAATGGTAACATACCTATTTCTTGATGACTTAGCATTACATATACAGTTACAAGCTCTCCTTTGAGACAATGATGCCCCCTAGGGATATTAAAGAAGAAAGGTGACTTTCCCTTATTTAAATGGCCTCAGACTGCTGGGCAGTCTCTTTGACTTTTTTTTTTAATGGCCTTTCCGCTGCTCACCTCTTTTTCAACTGTCAGAGGGCCTATGACAAAAAACTTCTCCCTTTCTAATTTAAGGTGTCTAAGCTGCAATGGTTTGAAGACCAGATAACCAAGATAACTACAACTTTCGTAAAATTAAGAGGAAATATTATCGGAAAGTTGGCCCAGTGATTTCTACTTTGGAAAACAAGGGTTCATGTCAAAGCATGTGAACTTGAAACAACTATCAATCTGCTCCCAGGCAGCACAGCGGGGTGTTTAAGAATATGGACTTTGTAGCTGGAATGCATGGATTCGAACTCTAGCTCTGCTGACTAGCTGTGGGATCTTGAGTCAGTTACTTAACTCTCAGTTTCCTCATCAGTAAATACAGGGAGAAGAATAGTATCTATCCACACGATAAAGTTGTTATCAGGATTAAGTAAGTTAATATTTGCAAAGTGCTTAGCATAGTGCCTAGAACAGACTGAGGGCTTGGAAGTTTGATAAGTTAACACCACCAACAAAAAAGACATTCATACTGACTGCATTCCACAAGTTAAAGGTATGGAAAGCAGACATTCCTTCCCTATGTCAGGGATTATACTTTGTATCTTAAAATGCCCCCAAAGTACATATCCCTCTGTGCACAGAATGTTTATTGCAACACTGGTCATTACAGTGGTCAAGAACTGGAACTGGAGCTATTATACAGGCATTGAAAAGAACGATATAAAGAGACTTACATGAGATATTAAGTGAGAAAAGCCAGATACAGAAAATCATGTGATATGATTCCATTTGTCTAAAAGAAACAAGTGTTTACTTTATGTATACATTCATGTGTGTATTGTGTATGCCAATACATGGGCAGGTACACCATGGAGAAAAACATGGAAGAACAAACACTAAAATGTAGACATGACCTCCTTTAAAGGGCAGGGATGGGGAAATGAGATGTGGAAATGGGTATTGGTGGGGGGCTGGGGAGAAAAGAATCCACGATTAAAACAGCATATATGAAAACATTTCATGTAAATAAAAGTATACATACAAACACACATGCATGCATGTATCTGTGTATCTGAAAAAGAGATCCATGAAATAATCACAAAAATGATAAAGGTGATTATCTTAGTTTGGCAGGATTCTCAGAGACCTTCACTTTCTTTATATTTTTATGTATGTTCAAAATCTATACAATGACCATGTACTATTTATATTATTAAAATAATGCACCGAGAGAGTTAGTTACCTATAAGGGAGCTACCACAAGACTGTCAACTGATTTCTCAACAGAAACATTTTAGGCCAGAAGGGATTGGCACCAAATATTCGAGGTGATGAAAAGCGAGGACCTACAACCAAGACTACTCTATCCCTCAAGGCTATCATTTAAAATTGAAGGAGGAAAAAAGGGCTACCCAGACAAGAAAAAGCTTCAGGAGTTCATTACCAGCAAACCAGTATTAAAAGAGGTGTTAATGGCATTTCTTTAAGAAGAAGAAAACAAACAAACCTCAAAGCAAAACAAAATCTGTTAGCCCATATTTTCACTGTAAAAAAGTAAAATAAAAGTAAATGCCCAAATTATTTGTAGGTTGTAGCTTGGGGTGGTCAGAACAGAGACTAGGCATCAGCAGACCTGAATTTTAGGCCTGGTTTTGCCACTGACTACCTGTCTGACCCCAAGCAAGTCCCTTAACCTTTCTGTGCCTCAGTTTCTTCATCTAAAAAAAAAAAAAAAAAAATCCTTACCTTGCCTCCCTTAAAGGGTAATTATGAATATTAAATGTGAGAATGGATCTGAAACAGTGCCCTGCAAATTAAAATTGCATTAATAATGGAGGGATTAATATGATCTTGTTTCTCAGGCACTAAAACAATTAGAACTCACCAAAGCAGAAACTGACCAGGGGCCAAACAGTCCTCCTTCTCCAAACAGGGGCTCAAAGAAAGGCACGGTGACCAGCAACATGGCAGATGACATTGGAGCCTGGTAGTACAGCAGCTGCATTGAGTTAACTTGCAATTCATGCTGTTTAGCTCCTACCCACTGAAAATTAGGAGATAAAACCACTTAGGCAGAAAAAAACATATCATTACTTATTAAAGGAAAGATGCAACTCTAGCCACAAAGATGGGAATGTGGGGCTCAGGGCAGGGGGCAGAGGAAATGCCTAATTATTCTACAAGATTTCAAATATCAACAATATATTTAAGTGTTCTTTAAGCACGTTGGATGAAAGGAGTTTTATAAATTCAATGTCTGATCATGTGCTGTCTCCTGAATTATAAAGGAGAAAAAAAAATCCATTCCTTCTTCCTGGTCCTAGTAAATGGAGAAATTCCATGCATACAGGAGACCACAAGTATAAGAGATCTCAGGAAAATATGGCAGGAATGGAAATTTTGATCATTAGGAGGAATACAGATGCAGTGTCAGATCTCTTTCTAAAAATGTCTCCAAAAGACTGGGGCGGAGCCGGGCACACTAATTAGAGACTGACAGGAACCTCAGTCATCCCAGGTGGCTGCCAATGTATGTGGCTAGAAAGGTATGTGAGGTCTTTTCATTCACTTTCAAAAACCCAGTAAATGGTAACAGGAATTTTCCTCTTTATGGATGACTTTTCTGTGGGTAATCTCCCACCAGTACACCTCAAAAAATTAGATGATCACAAACCCTAAACAACTATATCATTTAGTAGAACCAATACCTCAAAGCCTCAAATCCCATCAGTCCTCAAAATGTTTCACAAATCTGTTAAAAGAAAGCTCGATAGGACTGTTTGAATAAGATCTGGCAAAAACAGCCAGGCGTCTGAATAACTGCTCCTACATAATTCTCTTTCCTGTAGATCTGGGTATCCTGTTACATATTCTCCAAGTCTATAGAAATTAATCAAGACAAAAATAGAAGAGGAGGAAATCTGACACATAACTCCTGCTGGGCTTAACTAAGGGTCTTCTGTGAACACGAAGGACAAAGAATTGATTCTTCTGCCGCTGGCTCCTTAGGGCACCGCAGTGAACACGACGCACGCAGAGGGTACGCCTGCTTTTCCGCCCCTTTAGCGGCCTCACCAGGCAGCTGCGGGTCTCTGACACAGAACCACCTGGAATGGTGGTAAATCAGGGCTTCCACTTTCCCTTCCTGCAGTGCAGCCTGGTTTCTGCCCACCCCCCCACTCTAATGAAACTGCTCCCCCAAAAGGGCACCATCACCTCCAATAGCCACATCTGAAGGACTCCCCTCACCTTCCTCCTGCTGGAGCTGTCTGCAGAATCTGCACATTTCTCTTGGGAGAACCTGACCTCTGATTTGCACTGTTTCCTCGCTCACCTCTTCCTTCACTATTTTTAAGGTAGATATCTTGCCTTCCTCTTTAATCTTCGTACCTGATTTCTTTTACTATCTGCTGACCTCTATTGCTCTGACCTCTTTCCTTGAACATCCTTAAACTCACATCTTCAACACTTGACTCGCCATCCTCACTGAGATAATCTACAGGGACTTGTTCAAAACCAAGCTCATTACTTCCGTTCCCCAATTAATTCCTCCTGTGTTGTTCCAGTGATTGATATAATCTCCTTTGAGGATCAGACTCCTTACTTTCCTCACTCTCACATTTAGTCAAATCTCACTAATTCTTTCGCCAAAATATCTCTGGAGTGCTTTTCCTTACCGACTTCACTACCACTGTTCTTGGTGAGCATCTTCCTGTCTTCCCCTGGGACCAAGGGGAGCTTCCTAACTGCTCTGCCTGCTACCCTTTCTTCCCTCTTACTCACTCTTCATTGCCACCAGAGCCTACACTCTTCTCCTGGTGCCTGCAGGATGAAGAGCACACTTCCTCAGCATGACATTTAAGACTCTGCCATCTGGTCTCACCCATCGCAAAGCCTTGTCCTTCCACAATGCCACGATAGTCTCACCGAACAAATCAAGTTCTCCAAAAATGCTCCCTACGTCACAGCAAAGAAAGACCTCTCCAGTATTTCTTTGCTAAGCAAATTCATGTGTACTTTGACTTAAACTGTTAACTTTTTCAGGAAGACTTATCTCACTGCCCTCTGGGAGAATGTCACTTCCTCCCTGGTGGACCACAGAACTTCCCCTGTACTCTGAGCTGCTTATGATTAGCTGCCTACATGCATTTCTACATGCCTGGGTTGTAGCTGCTTCTCATCTTTGTATCCTCAAGCCTGAGCATAAAGCAGAAGAAATGTCTGCTGAGTGAATGAATGAATCCACACTCTTTCTGCAACGAAATCTATTACCTGATCACTATTCTTTTAACTCCTTTCAATGCCCCAGCAGAAATCACTTAGAAATTATACCTGCACCCAATGGGAAAATACAACTTTCCTTAAAATGAATTTTTGTCGAATATACCTATTTTGTAACATTACTTTTACCATTTGCTAATAATGGAGAACTCTGTCTATTTGTTAGTCTACAATCATTCATTGGCCAATATCATTTCAAATATCTACCTGAGGGATATAGAATCCTTTGATTCTAATCTGTAACGATGTTGAGACTTATGTGAACGAAAATGGTCATACTGGCATGACCAGTGAGTACTCTGAATTTAAATTATATATAATGAATACAAGAAAGTCTAATGTTCAACAAATAAAATTTCTTGCTGTATTTAATAAATATTTAATACATATTGGGCCAAAAAAAAAGTTCATTTAGCAAAAAAGAATGTTCATTTACTGTAGCAAGTAAAAAAGTTTAAACTCACTTAAGTACATCCAGGTATAATTTTCCTGAGGCACAAAGCTGAGCTTCCTCTGATAACTAACTCTCTGCAGAAAAAGACAGTATCCGGGAGCCAAGTGACAAGACTGAGTGGGTGCTCCATCCTTTCATGCCACTGGTATCTTTTTTAGACTGCTTCTCTGCCACTAAAATATGTATTCAACCTCAGACTGTTCACATAACAATGTTTCTAAAATGATCAGTATTACAAAGTATAAGGTGCTAAGGCTGTATTATTAGACTCCTAACACTCAACAAGAAGGTCTTAGCTTACAGCCAGTGGATGCTATGAGCAAAAAGAGTGAAACTGGTTACCCATTTTGACTCTAATTTCCCCATGCAGGCACACCCAGAATTTTCAGTCCAAGGTTTTCAGTATAGAGAAAATACTGTTTCAATGTACCCTACCAAGTTGCTTTTCCAAACTATGTAAAACACAAAAAATATACTTGTTCAGATTTTATGGTAATGAAGTAAGTGGATACATGAATGAATTTTTAATGAATGCCTGCTATATAGGCAAGGCACTGTGCTAGCACAAGTGAAATACCCATTGCTATAAAATATTGATATAGACAAATTATTTACACCCAGTATATAAGCTGGAACAGCAGAATATTTTTTTAAGGCAAAGATTTATAAATCTATAATTTTCCTTTTCCACTCAATTTTTTGAAAGTGTACTCACTCTTTCACAATGTTGTAATTGAAGAGTAAATGACAAATATAACCAATGAACTTAGTTCTCAGGTAAAAAGTCTTACTACTCATTTTGTGAAGATTTCCCAAAAAATAACATAACACCACCCCAAACTCAGACTGTTAAGCATGGGTATTATACACTTACAAAACAGGTAGGGAGGTATTTGGTGAGCATCAAGTTTCTGTCTCCTTTCTTCTCTTCACCTCGAGTCAGACAATTTAGGCAATTATGCTTTCTTCCTAACAGTTTATTGTCTCTATACTGTATTTTCTAAACCTTGGGATACAGCTTCAAAATTTATGAAATCTGCTAAAAAGGCACATAAAGAAAAAAAAAATTACCAACCACTTGATAAAGGGATGTAACTAAAACACCAAGAGCAGCAAACACCATTCCAAGGAAATTAAACTTCACATCGTAATAAGAATTTAGGATTACACCTAAAGTTATAGGAATCTGTAAAGAAAAAGAGGTAAATGTTGTTCAGATTAAATTCAAGAGAATGCCATTCATGGTGTCTTACAGCGTTAGTTTAAAAAATCATCATTGGGAAATAATGAACCTCTATAAATTTTTCTTCTCTATTTGAGAACACTGTTAATCCTGTTTCCTTAAAATTAAATGATAGTTCTCATGTTCACATTTAATTCTATTTAAAATTTTGGGTAAAATAATGAGTCAAGGCATTGCACTTTGCGAGAAATGAACACCACATGCATGGACATAGGAGTAAAAGAACCCCCAAACTAGTGGCTAAACAACATATAAACAAACATATAACAAAAACATTAGGATCTTTAATATTGTGAGTTATTAACTGCTTAAGTTATTTTATCCATTTCCTTATATTTAAAGATGCAGAAATCTCTGCAGAATGTCGCTGATGACATAGTCTGAAACATATTTTATTCTAAACCTTTAACATTTATCATACAGTTTGGTTCCCCTAGGGTAGGTGGGCTGTTTTCAGTTTGAGAATTTGCAGATAATCTGATACACTGAATTGCATCATCCAATACAGCTTGCTTTCTTTTCTTTTCCCTTTTTTTTTTTTTTTAACCGATAGCAGCATTTAAGTATATCTAACAGTAGTTTTTAATAACTTTGGGGGTAAGTACACTTTTGGGGTAAGAGCCCAATGGAGTGCCAGGATGGCTTTTTTCCACTTCCCCCAAGTAAGCCTTAAGTTCACATGCTCACAGATGACATGTGTGGATTTTAAGATGATGGGAAAGAACGTGCAGCAAGGTTAAACATTCAAATTTCCCGGTGAAAAAGACGTCCAGGAGGTGCGCCTTGCGAAGCTGAAGCTACTCACCAGCGTGAGCTGTATTTTGATAGAAATGGTTTTCTTGTAGCAGACGGTCTGGATAACTATGATCACCGGCGTGGTCATGGCCTTGGCCAGCTGATAGGTGCCTATGGTGTTGTTCTGCAAAGAAAGGTTTGTGAAGACCACGAAGCCACAGAAACTGAGAGCCAGGAGGAGGAGCTTGGAAAGCGGCAGACTTTTGGGGGCAAAGATGTTCAGCTTCTGGCAGACGTACAAGCCCAGCCAGGTGACCATAAAGTGCACCAGGGTCAGGCTCATGTTGGGGAAGCCATGGTGCACATAAATCCATTTGTTGAGGAACACGATGCAGATGGACACTAGCAGGTTGAGCAAGAGTCCGGCGGCGATGCGCCCGTTGCCCCGCACTCGGTCTGCCAGCGATGCCATTACCACCACGAAGCCAGGGCCCTTCAGCTTTCGAGAGGGACGTCGGACCTGCCGCCGGCCGCCCTTGCCCTCCTCCTCCGCTGCGGCGTTCGCGCAGCTCCTAGTTTCAGCTCCTGAAGCGGCGGAGGGTCCCAGGCGAGCAACAGCAGTGTACACATGCTCTGCCACCGCCCCTGGAGCTCGCGACGACGCGGCAGCACGTCCCGTGCGCCCCGCCCACCGCCACGTGACTCGGGGCGCGCGCGCCGTTCCGCCCGCCGCTGGTCTTGGAGAGGCCTCTATCCTGCGCAGGCGCATGGGGCTGTAGCTGCGGCGAGGAGCTCCCTAGGTCCTCTATGTCCCCTTAGTCGCCTAACTTCGACCTTGGCTGGGCCCAACTGGTACCCTTTTCTTGATGTTTGACATTTCCTGGGTTTTCGATTTACTAGACTGCTGCTCTCAAGCTGATGGAATGAGTTGTGCAAACACTCTTGGTCAGTTATACGTATGAGACAGGTGCTGAGCAATTTTAGTCCACCGAACATACTGAAGAATAATAGAATGATGAACTTTCATATACTTATCATGGTTAGTAAACGATCCAGATTTTCTTCCTTTTGAATCAATGTTTGCCTAAGAAAATGTCCATTTTACTTAAATGTTCTAATATACTCCGTTAGAATTGCACATAGTATTCTACGATATTTTAAATTTATTTCATCTGTTGTTACACCACTTTATTCAGTCTAAACATTATGCATTTCGGCTTTCTTTGCCCCTTGATTAGCCTTATCAGTAAATTTGTCTACTTTATGGGGCTTTCAAAGGTTACTTCTACTGATTTTGTTTCAAGTCATGACTTTTTCATTCCGACTTTCCCCAATTTCTTGAATGGAATGTTCAGTTTATTTAAAGGATTTAAAGCTGGGAGTTTCCTCCTTGAGAATAGCTTTGCCCACGGTCCCCAAGACAATGTAATATTCTCATTGTCCTTTATTACTAAGTTGTCTGAGAGTTTTAACTTCCTCTTTGATGTAAGAATTGTTTAAATGTTGAGCAACTGCTTTATGCAAGGCACTGTATTTGGCACTTGGAAGATAATCCAGACCCTCTGTCATAGAATTTAGTGAGAGAAGACTGGTACTAAACAATTATAAACCATAACAAATAAATGTTCTGAAGCAATACAATATGATCCTGTGAATGTATAATAAGAGAAACTGATCTAAACTTAGGGAGGGACAGAGGTCAAAAGCTTCCCCAAGAAATGACTCAAACTAACATTTGAGAATAAGTTTGTTTTTTTTTTGAAGGTTTAAATCATCCTTTAAAAAAACATAATCGTTATTATTTTTTTTTTCCATTACCATTTAGTCCCCTGTCGCCAGTAATCACCATGCTATTGTCCATGTTCATGAGTCCTTTTTCCTTTTGGCTTAATCCCTCCACCCACTAACCTCCCCCTCCACTAGCTGTCATCTGTCCTCCATCTATGAGTCTGTCTCTGTTTTGCTTGTTATTTCACTTTGCTTTTTAGATTCCACATAGGAGTGAAATCATATGGTATTTGTCTTTTTCTGACTGGCTTATTTCACTTAGCATAATATTCTCTTAGCAGTGTTCTCCAGGTCCATCCATACTGTTGCAAAGGGTAAAATTTTCTTCTATTTACAAACGAGTAGAATTCCATTGTGTAAATGTCCCATAGTTTTTTTATCCATTCATCTACTGATGGACACTTGGGCTGCATAGCTTGTTGATTGTAAATAATGCTGCAATGAACACAGAAGTGCTTATGTTCTTTCAACTTAGTGTTTTGGGTTCCTTTGGATATATTCCCAGAAGTGGGATCGGTGGTTCAAAAAGCAAATAAATTTTTAACTTTTTGAGGTATCTCCATACTGCTTTCCAGTGACTGCACCAGCCTGCATTACTACCAACAGTGCAAAAGCGCTCCCCTTTCTCCACATCCTAACCAGCACTTATTTTTTGACTTATTGATGATAGCCATTCTCCCAGGTGTGAGATGGTATCTCATTGTGGTTTTTATGTGCATTTCTCTGATGATTAGTGACTTTGAGCATCTTTTCATATTGGCCATCTGCATGGCTACTTTGGAGAGATGTCTATTCAGGTCCTTTGCCCATTTTTTAATTGGATTTTTTTTTTGGTGTTGAGTTTTTTTAAGTACTTTATACATTTTGGATATTAACCCCTTATCAGATGTATTGGTGTATATGTTCTCCCATTCTGTGGGTTGTCTTTTTATCTTGTTGATGATTTCCTTTGCTCTGCAAAACATTTTTAGTTTGATGAAGTCCCATTTTTCTTTTCTTTAGTTTCCCTTGCCTGGGGAGATATATCTGATAAAAAATTTCTACGAGCAGTGCCCAAGATTTTGCTGCCTATGTTTTCTTCTAGGATTTTTAGGGTTGTGGGTCTAACATTTAAGCCTTTGATCCATTTTGAATGTATTCTTGTGTGTGGTGTACAAGGAGGTGGTCTAGCTTCATTTTTCTGCACACATCTATTCAATTTTCCCAGTACCATTTATTGAATAAACTATCTTTAGCCCATTGTATGTACTTGCTTCCTCTGTCAAATATTAATTGACTATGAAGGTGTGGGTTTATTTCTGGGCGCTCTATTCTGTTCCATTGATCTGTGTGTCTATTTATTAGGAAAAGTCTGAAGTCTAGCTTTTCTAATGTGGTCTCTCTGATATGCTTTTCTTCCTATTATGCCACCAAACTCTACCATCGTACTGTACTATGTACCTTTTCCCTCGTATATTTACATTGCCATCCTCCCAGTTTGGATCTACAGAACTCTACCTGCTCAAAACTTTATCGTGTTTACCGTCACTGTTCCCCATTGAGACTAGATTTTCATTGGCCTATCATTGTCTCCTTGAGATTATAGATTTGGACTGATGATCTTAGCAAGGTAAGTTATATTTTTACCACACCTCTGTTTCTCTTATATTTGAAAACGGTTAAAATATGAACTCAAAATTGGGTTAAAAGTTAAAAATATCCTGTTAACTCATTTTGACACATTCAACAAGTTCCATGCCCTTCTCATGCTCCCAATAAATGCTAGTTTATAAGAACCAGTGTGTTTTACAGCAAAATCCTCCATGTTATCAGGCAAAAAATAGCAGTAAATGTAAAGGTCCACTTATTTGTTCTGTTCTTAGTGCAATTTTATTGTATGTTTCTAAGCTATTAACAATATACATAACTTGATGTCATAAAGAAATGTTAAAGCCCTGGCTGGGTAGCTCAATTGGTTAGTGTCATCCCGATATGCAAAGGTTGCAGGTTCAATCAGGGCGCATACAAGAAGCAACCAATGAATGCAGAAATAAGTGGAACAACAAATTGATGTATCCCACCCATGCCCCTCTGACCCCCTTCCTGTCATTTAAGGCCTCCCTCAGTCTGACCCCATCTTTGACGTCCATCCAGTTCCTTACTGTTCCAGAACTTGTACCTGCCAATGCTGATTTAGTTGGCAAAGTGGCTTTCTTTACCTCCTTCAACAAAGCACAGGAGCCCTAACTCTTACACTTCCTGAAATGTAATTTTCTTACTCTCATTTTCATATGTTGAAAATAGAGGTTCACTGGTGTTATCTTACAGCTAAAATGGGTTGGGAATAAGATTCAAACCCATATTTCTCCAACTCTCTAGCCCATTTCCTTCCTTTTTATTATGGAAAAAACGCAAACTTATGCAAACTTAAAACAGTATGGTAAACCCTCTTGTACCCATCGCCTGGTTTCAACTGCCATTCTTGTTTCATGTATACCCACTCTCCACCCTTCCATTCAATTTATAAACTGTACAATTTTTGACAAATGGATGCACCTATACAACGCACACCACTGTTAATATATAGAACATTTCTATCACCACACAAAATTTCCTAGAAAAGCCTACCTCCAAGAGGAAGTCACTGTTCTAATTTCTTCTACCATGTATTTCTAGAACTTCATATAAATAGATCACACAGTATGTACTCTTTTTGTGTGTAAATTCTTTAGTTGAGCAGATCAATTCTTTCCTCTTTATACTGCTGAGTAGTATTGTTTTTGTATGAACACTCCACAATTGTTTTTAGCCATTCTCCTATTGATGGTACATGGTATAAAGTGGGGGTCATTAATTTTCCATATAGATATTCTGTTGTTGTGTCACAATTTATCAAACTTCACCCAAATATTTTATTTTGAAAAATTTTAAATCTATAGAAAAGTTGAGACTAGTAAAATAAACTCTTGTGCCCTTTCCATAGATTTACTAGTTAACATCTGCCATACTTGCTTTTATTTTAAAAGCTAAACCATTTCAAAATAAAGTGCAGACTTCATGACCTTTCATTTCTAAATATTTCAGCATGCATCGCCTAAGAATAAAGACATTCTCCTACGTAGCCACAATACCATTATCACACCTAAGAAAACTGATATTAATTCAATCATCCCAACTAATATACAATCAATTTTTTTTTGCTGGAATACTGATAGGAACAGTGGTAAACATGAACATCAATTTGAGAAGGGACAGCTTTACCATGTTGAATCTTCCAGTAAATGAACATGGTGTGTCTCTCCATTTATTTTATTCTTCTCTGGTTTCTTTCATCAGTATTTTGTAGTTTTCAACATACAAATCCCATACATGTTTTGTTAGATTTACTCTTATCAGCTCATATGACTCTACCTCATTTTAAAATGGATACATGGAAAGAGATAAAAATTGAAGAGTTTTTTTTTTAAAGATTTTATTTATTTATTTTTAGAGAGGGGAAAGGAGGGAGAAAGGAAGAGAAACATCAATGTGTGGTTGCCTCTTGGGCACCCCCTACGGGGGACCCGCCTGCAACCAAGGCATGTAACCTGACTGGGAATCGAACAGGCGACCCTTTGGTTTGCAGGCTGGCACTCAATCCACTGAGCCACACCAGCCAGGGCAAAAAATATTGAAGAGGTTTTGCTAAGTAAATATTTCATCTTTGGATCACTTTATCTATCATAAAAACAAGGCAGGATCCATTGTCTCTACACCTCTTCCTAGTTGATGCCAAGAAGACTGCATTACGTTCAACTACTGCTGTCTGCTTTAGGTACAGGAGGAGTACCAACACCCATCTCTGATCTAAGCCAGAATGGCTCAGACTTAGCAATTTAGAAATCATCCA